TTCCAGGAAACTCGGCACTGGATGGAAATTGTCAATTGGTGACACGCTTCTACACCTTTGGCGTCCCCACTGTCATCCTAGACGGTTTCAGACACTACAGCATTCAGACTGACGGTACAACACAGCAAGCTACTGTGAAAACACCGACGGAGACAAAGACCACAGCAAAGACAACAAGCACCGAAACCACCACTACAATACTTACAACCACCGAGACCACCACGACGACACCAATAACCACCGAGACAACCACGACGATACCAATGACCACCGAGACAACCACGACGACATCTACAACCACCGAGACTACCACGACGACACCTATAACCACCGAGACTACCACGACGACACCTATAACCACCGAGACCACCATGACGACACCTACAACCACCGAGACTACCACGACAACCCCTACAACTGCTGAGACCACAACATCTACAACCACCGAGACTACCACGATGACACCTACAACCACCGAGACTACCACGACGACACCTACAACTGCTGAGACCATAACACCTACAACCACCGAGACCACCACGACGACACCTACAACCACCGAGACCACCACGACGACACCTACAACCACCGAGACCACCACGATGACACCTACAACTGCCGAGACCACATCTACAACCACCGAGACTACCACGATGACACCTACAACCACCGAGACCACCACGATGACACCTACAACCACGCCAACAACTACGGCGACTACGACACTTCTCACTACCCCAACAACATTGATAACAACACCTAAAACCAGCAAGACAACAACGAACTCACAGAACAACAACAACAACGGCAACAACCAGAACTAAATCAAGAACTACCAACAACGCTGCATCTACAGCTACTGGGAGAACTTTCTCCCGATGCAACTATCACAAGTCCTCACAGAACCACAACTTCGAAACTTCTCCCAATCCGGGAAATTGATATTTCCTCCCACACGGACGACCATGACTCCAGATCCCATCGATGCCTCCGAAACTACCATTGCTTTATGCAGCAAAAACGGTCTGAAAGTTGCTCTTTACTACTGTGAGTGATCGAGCACCATAATAATCTTCTTGTTTGCGAACTCGACACTCAAATACTTTCATGGCTTTGGTTAAACATGTTTAACCCTAGTAGAAATCATATCAAAATCAGGTGCAATGCCAACTTTGCTCCTGAGAGAGAAAAGTTCAATGTCTGCATTCCTCTTTAATGTAGCTAAGCTCTGAACCGTAAACATTCGATTGCTGAAAGAAACTGCATTTCCTTTTCGAATGAATATGAAACTGATGGATCTTCGCGCGCGAACTAAAATGAATGTGATTCAATTTAATGGAGGAGCAGGATTCTCAAATGTCATGTACTATTACTAAGACAATCCGCACTTCCTCAGTGGTACTGTTCCTGGCCCAGGTACGATGATTAATTTTTGGGGGGAAAGGGGGGGGGGAGGCGAAAATGAATAATTTTTTTTAATGGGCTTGCATGGAAATCATCGTTAGGCAAAATATTCTCGTGTTTTTTTGTCTGCTTTGCTGTGCAATGATACAGCTTCTTTGTCAAGATTCAAATTAATCCCCACATGAAATCTGTGGCTACTAATTTTCTCTAATAAAGACTTTCGATGCACATTGCACACTAGTATATGCAGGATGAATTTACACGTATTAATGACTTCGGAAATGATAGAGAACAAGCAAAAAATGCACAAACCCTTCCCCATGAGGTTTCACTGTCATTTCACATTTGATCTTCGCACTTGAAAACAAATTATTCTTTATCATGGTATCCTCCTTACTTATTGGTAGAAAGCCTTGCGATTTTCATAAGTATAAAGCTGATTTTTAAAATCTCTTCAAAATGAGTTTCACTTGAAGTGACAGAATTATCAATAGCAAGGAAACGAACAGTAGAGAGGAGGGACTGCCTTGTAGAATTTTCTGCCTCTTCAGGACACACATGCAACCACTTTCGAAACGAATTCCACGACAAAAAGTCTGATTTCGTCGTCGATGAAGGAATTCAGGAGTCTGGTCATCCCTGCCCTGTTTGAGATGAGAATTCCTTTCGACTAGCTAGCTACAAACTCCACCGGTCGACGGCTTCTAAGGAGAGATGAAAATGCCAGTAAAATACCTACAGTCGTGGCTTTTGCAATTCGTCTCTGTTCATAAATAAATTTTCATTCGACTCATTTTGGGAAATAAAGGATGATTCAAAAGTTCTCCCTAGTTTTAAAAATTAATTTCTCCAAGAACGAAAGAGATTCACGCAAACCAAATACATCATCCTTCAGAACACTTTTATTTCAATATGAGAAAGTTAACTTCGTATTTTTCACACTTCCACATGTGCAAAACCATGATTATTACCGTTTGTGTGACGAAGGCTGACGTAAATAGTCCGAGGGCACCCAGGACATTCCCCATGCCATTTATACGGAAACTAAGTTAAATTCACCTCTTTTACGCATTAGATCAAGCTACTCATTCGCGAAAATGAACAATCACATGTACCCATCAATACTTACATTGCCGTCCCATAGACAGGACGTGGAAGAAGCGGAGAGCGAAAGGAGCAGGCCATTTCCTCCTTGCAGCAGACGGAGCGAAATCACCCGCCCTCTCGACGACTTCACTGGGTCAAATTATCTCCTTAGGAGTGGGGCTAGAGACAAAGGAAGGAGGTGTGTAAGACAGCCAGGCACGTGCATTCCCCTCTCCACCCTCCATTCCCTTCGTGGAACGGTGGTGGGGAAAGTCATTTGCGTCGCACGATCCCCTAGGGGCTTTCCAGGATTTCATATGTACGTATGGGGACGGAGATGCATGCAGTAAAAATTCAGGGATGCATACTCCTTTCAATCGGTCTTTTTCTCACTGGTGCCACGTGCTTCTCCGTAACCAAAGCTAAGTATAAGCACATCCTTCTGGTATAAAAAAAAATGCCTGTAACTTAGTCTAGGGCGACTTTCAACCTTCTGCCATCGTATTACGGATAACGGTCGATTACGTCCCAGGATATCACTCAAGGGTTAGAAATGTCAATTTGACGTTAAGTAATGCTGGGCAAAGGAAGCGGTGCTACAGGAATTTCTCCTTTTCCCGGCAACCTGAGCAATACAACACAGAAACAAGAGTTGGTCGCAATTCCAATGTCCCAAATGTAGAAAGCCTCAAATGTGGCCAGAAGCGAGTAATAACCGCACGATTCTCCCATTTTGGACCAGGAAATATTGATGGAAAAAATTTACGCCAAGCAGCAAGAAGACATGATCATCTCGCTAACCGTTCGTGCGACGAAGGCTGGCATGAATGGTCCGAGAGCACCCATATTCCCCATACCATCTACTCGGAAACAGAGAAAAAATAAAACACCTTGATGCATTCGAATAACCGGGTTTTCATCCAGCTGGGCGGCCGGGGACGGAGAGCGAGGTGCGTGAGACAGTCTGACACGTGCATTCCCCTCTCCCCTCTCACACTCCCCTCCTTCGCTGGCGGCAAGGTCAGGGAAGGTCACGTCCTGCGTCGCAGGGCACCGGGGGGGGGGGGGGGGGAAAGTTTTTCCTAGCATTTTTCAGATTCACACTTGCGGGCGGATCTTGCACTTGTACGATGAAAAACGAAAGGGTCATGTCAACACAAAAAAAAAATAATTGACCTGACCCCCTCCGATTTCCATTAAATTTGCTGAACTTGTAGGGGCCATTGAAAAACCATCCCATGCCAAATTGCAGCTCTCTACCTCTCTCCACTCTCCTGCCAGTCAGTCTAACTCTACCTGCCGTCGGGTGATTCTCTGCAATTGAAAGTATAGGGCTAGACTTGAGGTATGCAGTGTACCCGTAGACGTCGACCTCGACGACCTCGCCTCTCCCGGTTTTCTAGTACCGTTTATTCGATCGATCCCGCCACAGGTCATCGATCTCGCGTTAAGAAATGCCCTGCACAAGAAAGCGGTGCTTCGAGCGTTATCCCGCCTGTTCCACATGGAGAAAGGCAGCACAAACCCAGGAGTTGCCCCCACTTTTAACGACACACGATCAAAACGTCACATGCGGATCGAAGCGCGTGGAATCCTGCTCGATTCCCCTTCTCGTGCAAACAAGAGGCATATATAGGGCTGAGGGCATCTCCACCAAATTGGTGAAGAAAGAGGAACCTCGTGAAGAAAGAGACGAAACGTTTCCTCGCTATCCCCCGGAATTAACCTTTATCGTACGCGCGTACATTTATTTGTACATTAACCTTTATCGGACGAATGTCGCGACTGGGACAGCATTTGTCCCTAAAGGTACATATACTGTACCTAAATGTCTTGGAAAAATGCTCTGATATTGAGTGAATAATTGCTCAGGTAGCGAGTGCATACAAGCTTCGTAGAAAATAACTGTCTGCACTTGCGCAGGAGATTTAAATCCGTCCGATAGAGGTTGATTCCCTCATTGAAGACCATTTCCCTACATTACGCGCAAAAATACCCGTAAGTCTACCAACCTTCCCGAGACAAAGTAAGGGCATTAGCAACGTCGATCCATTGCAATGGCGAAAGTTGCAGGGAATGAGCGCCCGATTACAGCTTTCGGATCTTCATCAATTAATCGGCCTCATATCATGATTAAGCGTAGCATCGATCATTCGACTTGACATGAATGGCTACCGACCGATGAAGTTTCCACACGACTGGGACTTCTCGACCGGATGATGAAAAAGTTGAGAAGCCTACCCCTGGGTCCCATTCGGTCGCACCAGTAGGCTTCAGTCACTCCTCTTCCGTGGGCCGTGCATTTGCTCCGCGTGGGTAGCGAATCTTTCGAGTGGGTCCGAGTGCCCTTATACGCTCAAGTGCCAGACTCCTATGCATCTCTCTCTACTTTTATTTCTTAGGTTGCGCATAGGGAATTCTTCACGATTCGATCGGTCGTATTCCAAGCGTGGATAAATGTAAGGTATCGGCATTTGACTCGCGAGGTGAAGCTACTTTTTTTTTTTAAGATGAAGAGGTAATCGTTGAGCAGAGGTCAAAATGCAGAAGACTCTTCTCATCTGGATTCTCATATCGACGACAAAGACGAACGGCCACAAGGTCCCAGGAATTACGTTCCACCATCCGCCTGATCTTGGCGAGTGGGAGGTTTTGGAACACTATCAGAGTCTGTTTGTGCCTTCAAGAATTGCTTGCGCAGCGAAATGTCTCCGGGATACCTCAAACTGCCACGGATTCAACTACCTGCACAATGGTAGGCCTGTGTAATAAAGATTGTTTCGTTATTTTTTTCCTACAATGAAAGGGTCTTAGAGGTACATTGAATGACATTCAGGGAACTCGGCATTGAATGAAAACTGTCAAATGGTGACGCATTTCTACACTTCCGGGACTCCAACTGTCATCCTGGAGGGCTTCAAGCACTACAGCATTCAGACGGACGCTACCACCAATCTTCCCACGGTTGAAACCACCAAGGTTGCCACGGCCCTTTCTGCAACGACTGAGGAAACCCCGGTCTCTATGGAGACAACAACGACTTCACTTGCTTCAACAACCACAGAATCCGAAATTTCAGGCTCGACAATAGAGAGTGCCACCGTCCCCGAACCAGCAACAACTGAAGCCACCAGTCTTGCTGCCGCAACCACAACTATGGAGACTGTCACCAAAACAACTGATACCATCACACTTCCGCCCACATCTACAATCCCAGATTCAGCAACCACCGATGCTACCACTCCCCCAATCGCGACTACAACCCCTGACACGACTACCGAGACGACCACCATTCCCACTACCACAACTACCGAGACGACCACCATTCCTACAACCACAACTACCGAGACGACCACCATTCCTACAACCACAACTACCGAGACGACCACCATTCCTACAACCACAACTACCGAGACGACCACCATTCCTACAACCACAACTACTACGCTTCCTCCCACAACTACGACTACCACACTGCCTCCAACAACTACAGTTACAACGACTACGACTCCAGATCCCATCAGCGCTTCTGATATGGGGAAGTCCAACTGCAACGACAATAATCTGGTAGCTGTTCTTCACTACTGCGGGTGAGTTCTTCTTGCTCCCGACTAGAGGCAAGTAAAAACATGAATTTCTTCGACTGAAAAATTTTAAATCCCAGTATTTTACCTTTGCCAGGGACTATTCATCTCTATCCGGGCAGGCGTGCCCGTCAGGCAAGACCAGAATCTATATATTCTTTGGCAACAAACAGATACGGTTGTATGACTCGCCGAACGACCTCGGTTCTGTGCAATGGAGATGTTTGGACCTAACCAAACTGTTTCCTAATTTTCCTGGAAATAATCCAGATGGAGCTTTCCAATTGGATTCCGACATTCTGCTATTCTCCGGTGAGGAATTAAAACCCGTTACCTCTATCTCTTCCAATCTCATGAATCGTATAAAAAGTTTCCTTCGTCAAATTAAGGTCAGAACGCCTACAGATACCAGACATTGGGCACGACTTACTCCTCCTCGGGAAACGGAAAGGACTACATCCCTTGCACCCAAACCCCCAATCCCCAGTACTTGTGGGGACTGCTCCTGCCCCAGTCCGAGAAAGTTCTTTTCACGGCGAACAACAAAGTCTGCTCGACCACGGGAGCATCGGCCCAGACTCCATACTACGACCCCAACTTCGACTGGAAGAATAATCTGCAAGTCTGCATCGGATCGAAGAAGGATGCGAAGGAGGTGCAGGGCTGTCCTTACGATTTCGCCTATGACGGCACCGGAAAAGTAAACAAGATCATCATCTTCACGACCGCGGCGAAATTCGCAGTCTGTCATCTCGATGGGAGCTCCACGTTCGTCGTGGACGTAGCCTTGACAGATCTGTAGATTAAGGTCCTCAGAGCATCAGATACCACAATGATCAACTCGATTGCATGAATTCACGTAAATTTTCCATGACATTCATTACCAATAACAGAAGTCATGCATACGTAAGGTTCAGTTTAGAGAAGGTTAAAATTAAGAAAATACCCATCTCTGAATTGCGTCACAAATGACGGTTGGTGGGTGATGGTTTTTTTTTTGGAGGGGGGGGGGGGGCTGTATGAATCGAATTTCACAGCAGCTCCAATAATAGTTTGTCACGACTAAAAACGTTAGCAGTTGGGCGCAGCACGCACTTTCATGACTTATTCATTCCTAACACAGTCGTCTCATTTCTGAAATAGGTAGACTAAACTTTGTAACAGAAAACGATCACCGAAGAGCTTACATGCATCCGAAGTCCGCTCCACAGGTTGTGAATTTTGAATTTCACGCTTTTCTTTGCACATGAAATCTGAAGCTGCTCACCGTCAATGCACAGAAAAGTGATTTTGCACGAGACATTTGTAGCCCAAAAGGCAATGAAACTCCATTGCGTCGCGACTTGTAATCGAATGGGTCGCGAGTTCCGGAGACATATGGTCTCCAGTTGTACCTACGGTATGCTTCACGCTTGATGGTGTCACGAAGTCGTTTCCCTTGTGTGTTACATTTTTTTCCCTCTTAAAACACTTTCATCAACTTCATGTATTGCTTCTCCGATTCAGATTTATTTACTTTTTCTCATACAACTACTCTTGGTATCTTCAAATGATGTCCTGCGCTAAATAAATTTTCGAAAGCATCATGCTGAATTTTCCTGACAATACCGACAAAATCGGGGCAATTTCATCACATGCTTTTCTCGATACAAGCACCGTCCCAGGCAAATCGATACCGCCGGGGAATCCCCCGACCCCCCACCACAGGACAAGTGAAGAGCATTCAACCGGGCGACGCTCACTCGAATCTGTACGATACCGTCCACCATAGTCCCCGCATGACTTCCTGCCTTTTTTGCATGAACGTGCTTCCAAAACGAATTCCCATTCAGAAAGCAGATTCCATTGACTATGAAGGAATTCAGGCGTTTTTCGCGTATCACCACTGACCTGATTGAGACAAAGTTCCTTTCAATTAGACTCCAAATAGGTTTCCTGAATGGGCGAATATACCTGCAAAATGCCTGTTCTCGTTGCTTTTGAGACTCATTTATATTTCGAACAAAAAAGTCCCTAAATTTCCTGCAATTTCCGCAGTCTCCACAAACAGGAAATAAATCTACTTCCAGAATTAATCATTCTGCATGTTTTCCGGAAAAATCAGTTCATTGCTTCAGGACTGTAAATTTTAGCTTTGTAAATTTTTTTTTTGCTCACCGAAATCTCAGCTGAGACGAAACAATTTCGTATACTTGGGAAGAAGTCCTTATTTTCAAGAGGTATTTTTTTCAGTTTAGAAAACTTCTCCGTGAACTTAATAACCTTAATAACGTGTCCTGAAAATCTTCTATCTTTCTTGAAAACGGGAAGATGCCGTTTAAGAAGTTTTGCGCGCCCCCACTGCCGCCTTCGCTGTTCGAAAAAGACCAACGTTCGTCCGAAAGCACGAAAAAATCATGCACATCTTCGATCACAGATTCAACAGTTTAATGCAACATCCAATGAGACGATGAAGAAGTGATGAAGTCCTTCTTCGGTGAACGGGTTGACTACTTCACTGGAGTTGATCATTTTATTTTTTAGATTAATTTTTTTATTATCTCTTATTGGCTTAAAAAATTTGCGTACAAGTTATCAAAGGAAGGAATCCTGACATTTCTGATGCCTGCACGCAATCGAGAAATCGAATACAAGAAAGCAGATGTGACCACGATCCTCCTCTGAACGCGCATTGCCCATGCATTTACCCATTGGCCACTAACTATTGGCAGAGGCCACATTCACGAGGCTGTTTCTTAATGTGGAGAGGAGTTTTGGAGAAGCCTATTTTTTTTAAGTTCCAGGGAGGTTTCATCAGTCGGAATTGAAATCTCGATAATTTTCCTTCATCCTTTTAACAGTTCCGTAACATACATTTCTTGAAGTTAAATGAATTTTAGAATATCCTACCTTCTCTCAAATCAAAACCGAGAGAGAAAACCTAAACCTTCATAAGAAAATTCTCCCCTCCCCCAACAGAATTGCCTCCCAAACGTCTCAAGTTTTGCAAAATTTTGGCAAATAGGACTTCATCTGGCAGAAGCTGAATGTGAAATCAAAACCCACGAACGGGTAATGAATCCGGCTCTCTCTAGCCGTAAATAGCACGGATGCGGTCAATGAATGAAGTTCTTCACCATCGTACATCAGAAACGACGAAACGGGATTGAATAGAATCAAAATTGAACAAAGATTCCAAATATACTTTAAAAGTTTTTCTAGCTCCTATAGTCTAGGCTGTGGCAATCTATAAACAACACCCGGTAGTATTGTTTCCCGACACTTGGCTGCGATTCACGAATACGAAACGTTCATTTTGGGAATGAAAAATACTGAGGTCATGAGAGACCTCATACAAAGAGGCATGTGTCCGAGGGCTTTGCGATCCATTCCTCCAAGGCAATGAAATATAACTCTCATCTTTCAGATTTACGTGTTTTCAAGGGGACATCGCCTCCGACACCTCAGGAATGCAGGCGCGCGAGTATTCTGACGACTAACATTTTCTTAAATGAGTAATAAGCAACGACATGATTATCTAGGTAACCGTTCGTGCGACGAAGGCTGACGTAAATAGTCCGAGGGCACCCACGAGGACACGCCGAGTTCTATTTATGCAGAAACGGCAAAAAAAGGGCGCATTCGGATAATGCTGTCAGGAAAAGAAGATGGAAAAATGGTACGAGTACACATACAGTATACTTACATCGACAAAAATCGGTATGCCGGACGAGTAAGGTACAGTCTACAGGCAACGAAATAAGCAGACCTGTTTGCAGCAAGCGCCACGGGGCCACCTGGTGACTTCAGTGGGTATTCTTTCAGCAGAGCGGCTGGGGACAGAAACAGCGAGGCGCGTGAGACAGCCTGACACGTGCATTCCCCTCTCCCCCTCGCACTCCCCACGAACGGTGGCGGCAAGGTCACGTCCCGAATCGAAGGGCAAAGGGGGGGGGGGGGGGGGGGGGGGCTTCCTCGGGTTGAGGGGGGGGGGGGGGGGGGGGGGGGGGGGGGGGGGGAAGCTTCTCAGCGTTTCTGAGATACACGCTTGTGGGCTGATCAGTACCGTAAAAACCGAAAGGAGCATGCTTCTGCCAGTCGTTCTAACTCTACCAGCAATCGCATGATTTTCGGCAATTGCTTCGAAGGTATAAGGCTAGACTTAAGGTGAACGGTATACCTTTAGACTCGGCTACCTCGCCTCTCTCGGTTTCCTACTCCCGTTTATTCCATCAATTATTTCCCAAGGTAATCAATCTCACGATAAGAAATGCCCTGCAAAAGAAAGCGGTGCTTCCAGCATTTACTCTTCCTGTTCCAGCAGTTGAAGAAAAGCAACACGGACGCAGGAGTGGCTGACACACGGACTAAAACATCACATGTGGATGGAAACGTGTAGAATCCCACATGAATTCCCTTCTCGTGCGAACAAGAACCATGTGCAGGGCTCAGGGTATCTCATCACTGAAATATTCGTAAATGATTGATGCGAGGCGGATATCGAAAATCATTTCACAATTCGAGCCCTGCAGTTGCTATATGACGTCCTATGCCCATGGCGCATTCAAATTGCCAGGGCTCAAAGCGTTAAATCTACCTAGGAGGAGAGAGAAGAGGAACCACGTGAAGAAAGTCACTTGGAACGTTTCCTCGTCATCCTCAGGAATTAATTCCCTCATTCGAGTATGAAACATTTCCCTAAATTACACGCAATAGTACCCGTAAGGCAACGGAGCTCACCAAGGCAACGTAAGGGTATTCGCGACGCCGATCCATCGCATCAGCGAAAGTGGAGGGAAATAGCGTTCGATTCCGGCTTTCGGAATCCCAATCGATCGGTCTCGTATCGTGATTAGACGCGGCATCGATCATTCGACTTGGCATGAATGGCTACCGATCGTTCGACATCGACGAAGTTTCGCCACGACTGAGACTTCTCGACCGGCTGATGGAAAAGTTGAGAAAGCCTCCACCATCGCATCCCATCGAACCCTCTCAGTGGGCTCCCGTCGCTCCTCTTGCGTGGGCCGGCCATTTTCTTCGAGTGAGTGCGGGTGTCAAAATACACTAACTAGTCGAGAAGCCGTGTGCACAAGGGGTAATTAGGCGATGACTTTCCATTTTTTCACGACATTGGGATCGATGGAGAAATTATTTCTCGATGGAAAGAATCACAGACGCACTTGGGAACTGCACCCATGCCCAAAGTCTTCTTTTCGGAATCGACTCACTCCAGGCAGAATGGCATTCGGAATTAGTTCCGAATTATTCCGCATTAGTGTCCGCAGAGCAAAATTAAATAATTTTGCTCTGCGGACGCGGTGAACGTTCGAGCTCGGTATTCGCGGCGTGAGAAGCGATACGATTCGCTTGCTCTTATGACCGTCGGGGCGAGGTCGTTTACCGGCTGTTTCTTTGTCGGCATTTTGTGGTGTGATGAGGGATTGGTTTTCCTCGGGAACAAAGCGGAATATTCGTGTTAAAAATTCTTACGCGTCCGTAAGGACCCAGGCGGTCAAATCTAAGACGCACTAAGGCAGACATACACAAAAAAAACAGCCAATTTCAGTCGCAACGGTATCCTAGGTGACAATATTCTATCATTTGAATGAGTGACATTAGGCACAACGACGAAGATTCAACGTTGAGTGAGGATTCATTTTTCAACGTAGAAATGCCACACGGTGCGTAAAGTTGTGGATTCAACGCTGAAGCAAAACTGAAATGAAACAGTTCAACGTTGAAAATACGATCGTGTGTCGCGTCGTGCCAGCGCTGAGTCGTCAACGCTTGGGCATTACCTCTTTGTCCTGAGCTTAAACGCGTTCTAATATTGATGAGAGCTCGAATGTACTCTAATGAGTATTATCGATGGCTGGTAAGTCCTCAGATCGGCATCCAGTACCGTAGCGTAATGCAGCATTACGTTACGGTTCCGGTTACTGTACGGTATGTTGTGTAAGGGCTCTGCATACCACAGCTTAAGGAACCGGTACAAAGGTCACTGAGTCACTGAACAGGTCTCTTTA